TCATGCAGCCCTGGGGCAGAAGCGCCTCCTGGCTCACCCTGAACATCCTCTTCCTCAGCTGGGTAACACCCTCTTTTGTGCCGGGCAGCTGACGTTGCCAGCCTTCCAGTGCACAACAGGACTCCACTCAAAAAGAGCCTTAGGCTGTCCTGCGCCACAAAAATTGATTTGTAAACACACGCAATGATTACTGCTCCCCACCGCCCCCGCCCCATCTGGACAAGATCCAGTTTTTAAACCTGAGCAAACAGTGCACTTCGTACTCCCTCCCACATGCTGTTATCTCGTTGGACTTGGCAAAGTCTCCTCTTTCTGTGACCACACGATCCCATTCACAGGAACACGAGTGCAGCCAACATACATTCCATGTATGTTCCCCCATCCCCCAAATCTTCCTGGAGTGAGTCATCCAGCCCCGAGGACAGTGGGTGAGTCAGAAGCAGCTGGGATTACCCAAAACTGCCCGGGTCTGGGCCACAGCCCTGTGAGCAAACAACAGAGAGAGAATGAATGTGTGTCTTGGAGGGCTGTGAAAAGGGAGTCCCTTCTTGTAGCATTTTTATTTACATTATTTTCTCCAAGTGAAAGAAGAGAAAATTAAGAACACAGAGGCCATACCAACTCCATGGCCCTGGATGTTTGGGATGTGTCAGAGGCACGATCCGCAGGTTCTGGCAATGCCAGCGGGAGCTTCTGTCTCCAGTGAGTGCATCCATGTGCCAGGCCCGGAGCCCGGTGCTCCGCACACACTCGTGCCCTTGCTCTTCACAGCCGCTCAAGGCAGATCCTGGCTCCTCATTTTACTGATGAGAAAACCGAGGCCCAGCACCGTGGTATGGTAGAGCGAGCCTGGAGCTAAACCCCAGCACTGTCCCCTTGGGTCCCCCTGCTGAGGAGGGCACAGGGAAGGGCAGGCCGAGGCTGAGGAAAAGCCCATGCTTTTCCTTCCTTCTTTCAGGTCTGTGGCCTGAACCTCAAGGAGATCAGAGACAATATGAATTCCACAGTGTTACAAAAATGGCTTTGTTTGAAAGGAGATTTCTTTCTCTTTTGGAGTGGTTACAGGGATTCTTGTTTCCTTATGACCATAGCGTGGGTATTGGACAGGCCTGTGGACACTACTAAGCAGGGAGGGGGCTTTGGAGGGATTCTGGGGGCTGAAGAGGAGATGGGATGGCATCTCCCTAGCGTTGCAAAAGATGGGAGGTGCTGAGAGTAGGAGCGAGGAAAACTTGGGAAAGAAAGCTTCAAACAGCCCACACAGTTTCCCGGCCCTTTATTTTACAGTCTGCCGGGGCTTAGGGTGTCGCATCTCCGCCTTGCCAAGAGGCTAGAGCTGCAGCTGCTGCCCCCACCTGCCGAACACGAGAATAGAGTTAAAAGACAATAGGAATCTTTCCATTAACTTTCTTTTTTTTTTTCAAAAGATGACCGGTAAGGGGATCTCAACCCTTGGCTTGGTGTTGTCAGCACCACGCTCAGCCAGTGAGCAAACCGGCCATCCCTACATAGGATCCGAACCCGCGGCCTTGGTGTTATCAGCACCGCACTCTACCGAGTGAGCCACGGGCCGGCCCTTTCCATTAACTTTCTGAAGATGCCTCATACTATCTCTGGAAAAGACTTCATAGCAGGGGTTTTCAAATAATGACTTTGCTAATAATAAACTATATCTTGTATTTGTGGGATCTTTTACAAAATGGGGGAATAATTTCTACTTTGTATAGTTCACAGAATTGTTACAAGCATCAAATTACAACATATGTGACATTGTTTTGGGAACTGTACAACCTCAGGTGCTGTCATTGTCATCATCATCAACAATGGCACCTCTCTTCTAAAGGCGTTGAGTACTTGACAGTTCCTCCATTTCCATGCTCCCTGTTGTAGGGAACAAATACAGAGAAGCACACTTTTCTTCACTCCGTGGGAAGTGGTCAACTCAATGCCAGCACCACAGGTGCCCATAATTTCCATCAGCAGTATCCCCAATCCCCCAAATAAATACAAGGGCACTTCAAAAATAGCTACAAGTGCAAAAGCCTCCCCTCCAACTCTATCTGCCATTTTCATTTTTTTCATCCCTAAATCCCTTCCATGTAGAAATTGTAGAACTGCCCCAGATATATGCTCAAGTTCATGTGGTAGTGAGGCAGGAAGCTAGATAGAGACAAGAGCAGGAGAAGGAAAAACTGGTTAGTTGCAAAGTAACCTTCTTCACCTTGAAGA